ATACTCGCGAACGCGCAACAGCGCCACCTGTGGCCCAATCTCAGTGACAACTCGCCTGCCCTATATAGAAGACCTTTCACAGAGGCCATTCTGGTATAGGATAAAGCTCATAAATCGTCAATTGCGAGCATTCTGGCAATTGCGCAGAAGCTTTTTCGCTCTGCAACGTAGGCGAGAATAAATCCAAATAACCTTGTGCTTTGTGCCGGCCGCCTTGTTTCGATTAAAAAAAATAATTCCCTTTTCGAAGCTGATTATGCCCATGACATTAATCTTGGAATTACGCCACCCCAATAGATGGCGCACGGAGTCCATCTACGACCATTCAAAGTTTTTTAAAAAAAAAAACCGCCGCCTGCATACCTAGACTCCGCGCGCCTGCACAGTTCGACCACGCTAAGCGCAACTCACTTCAAGATGTACCCCAACGACTAGTTCCGCACCCAAGCTACCGCCGGTCGAATCGTGACGTGGCACTCGCATTCTCTGACCATTTTAAGACGGCGCGCTGATTGATAGGTGGTCTTTACACTCACAATGGTTTAGGAAAAACCACAACCGTAGTGTACGTGTATCTACCCGCCCACTGCTCTCATATTTGCATCAGACGTCCATAGTTCAAACCAGAAATAGGAGAGCAGAGGCGCAAGCGCATAAAATACCATACCACAGCCCTCTCAATAGACCGTAACAGCATACAGCAATAGCATATCTTCTTTCGAATCAGACATAACCCATAACGATCTTCATACCATCGATATAGATGGCAGGCCGTGTAACTGCGTGCAAGTGTAAAGGTGTTGTTCGACAAGAACGAAAAATTTCTTTCATATGAGCGACGTCTGAATAGGTCGTAAAGTCGCCTAAAATAGTAATAGTATTCGTTAAAAATAGTTGACGAAACTGCAATACTACATCAAACTGTCACTTTATTCTAACATTGACAAAGAAAAGAACGTCATACCCGCAACACAGTTAAGCCTTTAATGTTGTAGAGCAACAGGCCCCGTGACCTCAAGTTCGAAAAACGTATACAGCTACTATAAGAAGTGCGAAGCTACATTACCCATGTCGCGTAACGCGAGGTTTTATATCAAACCTTTGACCCGCGCTCCCCCGATGGCGACGAACACGTCGGCAGCACGTGCAGACCCTCTCAGCCGCGTTTGCCCGTTTGCTTATAATATACCATACGTACAGCGTGCTGCTATAGCAAAAACTTCGTCACTACTCCCTAGCGGTCGAGGGAGCCGTCATTGCTGTTGTCAGAAAAACTTCTGCAGAAAAACTTGAACCGCCTGCTCGCCCAGTTAAGCCTTCACCGGCAATCCCTAGTATAATACGCATATATACATGCACCGACGAAATAAAGTCAACAAATAGGACGCCCTGTATGATGATAGTGATATTACGCTTCGCATGTGTGTATATAGGTGAACATTCTATTAACAATGAATAGAGGCATAGCCCCAGAAGAATCAACAGGAAGATAGATTCGTAATTCTAATATAAAAACCAAGCTATCTTCTCGCTGCAAGCTGCCGCTCGTTATAGAAGCCGCTACCATAAATAAGAAAATACAATCATTAAATAAAACATATATCATTCAAAGTGTAAAATAAAGTAAACCACCGGTGGCACACTTTATTCAATTCCAATTGAACTTGCAAAGAAAAGAACAGCTCAATCAGCTCCAGCTGTTCATTCTATTCCATGTCAATTAACGTCAACCAACTAGCTGAAACGCTAGATTAGCGCTACGCAATTAAAGGCATCGACGCGCGCCAGGGGGGGTCCGGCTGTGTTCAATTATAATGTGATTATAACCGTCGTCATTGTTGTAAAGGTGAACATTCCGATTTACATGAAGAAGGCGATAATTGCGCCGCATATATTTATTATAAACCCAGCTTAGCATACCGCCTGCACGCTGCCACGGCTCGTTAACATGAAGCCAACCTGACCGCATAACAAAATACAATTCATAAAAAACTTATACACACAGTGACAAGCACAATGGACACTTTTATAGATCTTATCAATTGAACCTGCCAAAGAACACAGCTCAATGCCAGGCTCAGCGTTTCATTGTATTCCCTGTTAAATATCACAGCACCGCGAGTAACATTTCGTCAGCTCTCTTTGTATTCGCGTCTGCACACCAGCTCGTACGAAAAGAGAGAAATTATGTTATAACAAGTGAACACTGTTACGTCCCAAATGTCTACCGCCATCTTGTCCCCACACTGCTTTCGCACTGCACCACCCGCGCGCCCCCACGAGGCACCCGACGCCAGTCAGGCCCAAGGGTGTGCGGCGCAACTGCTTTCGAACTCCCAGTCGAGCCCCCAATTCGAACGTCAAAAAAACCGTCTGCAGCGTTGGGCGAACGAAAGACGCCGTAGTTGTTCCTAAGATTCATGACAGCCGTTCCATCACTGGGAAGGTTCGCGAAATGTCAAATTCGACAGTCTTCTGTGATTCGCGGTGACAGCAGCTCGTACGAAACAGATCACCGTTATACAGTTTTTAGAACAAGTGAACACGTTCACGCATGTCATTCCCCAAATGTCTACCACTCTGTGTCCCCACACTAAAAAATGCGGACTGTTCCTAGCAGCTATGAACCGTGCGCAGCACAATTCATTACCGCCACCGACCATAGCGCCAAGCGCTGCATACTCGTCGAGGACGTTCCCCCGCGGCGCGCGGCGCCTGCCCGCGGCAACCTGCCCGCAAAGATCTGCGTTTTCAGCGCTCGTCGGATCAAATCTCGCTTTCGGGCCAACGCTTCTCTAGTATCCCGTCTCATCTGGTTTAAACCTATACGATAGTTTGTTTCCCTATTATTAATAAACAGAGGCATCCGGATTAATTTTTCACGTCAAGCTACTGCGAGCAATGTTTAATCTCTGTTTTTAACCTATAATTTTAACAAAAAGTTATGTTATTTCGACGATGCTTCATAGAGGTCTTCCGCTATGTTACCGAGTAATTTAATTGAAACTGCTATAAACACATAATGATTACTAAAATGTTTAAATTACTAAAAGCTGTTGGCGCTTACACGGTAGACACCCAGTGGGTCCTATACCTACCCTAATGGTACTGTATACATTTGAACGATAGATAGAGGGTATAAGCCCTTGTAGTTTTGTGCTTTATTATGGGAACAAAACATTGGAATGCCTCTCTCGGAGCCATTGCCCTGAGACGCGAAAGTCGTCCACAGACTTAGAGAAACTCATTATTTCATTGAATATAAATGATTAAATTATAAAAACCTGGCGTCATCTGTTTTTATTAAACTTAATATAACCCCAAGATATAGTTCTTAAATGTAATACAGTTTTTATGAAGCTCGTTGCGAATAGTTGTTTATAATTATAAAGTTCTCACTGAGATCAGAGCAACCACTATTGTTAACAATTTCAGTTCTAGCAGATGTAGATAATTAAGACGAGGGGGCGCTACTAGACACCCAGTAACGCAAAAATCACCGATGTGTCGTGTCTTGTTATTCTTAGTTTATATGCTTGTATGTGCTCAAAATAATACCAGAGCATATAAATCAACATTTGCTATTTTGATGATTTATATTATGCTCATTGTTGATTTATATGCTCTGATCATACTCCAATAAATAACTGCCACTAGGATGTGCCAATAGTTAAAGTAGAAAATAGCCTTTGATCCAGCACACGTATTTCTATAGGAGGCATACAACAGTAAGCCTCCGCATATTGTTCACCGTTGCAATATTTCGTCTCTAGAAAAGGCCTTTTTTGGCATGTTGTGTAAGCGAAGTAACAGTGTGAGTATTTTTAATTAATTTCTGTTCGATGCTTATTCAGGCCTGTTGCCTATGAGGCCCTCTACTGTTGTTCGACACATATAGAATAAGAATACTTGATAGATACAACACGCAGGATATAACACGCAGTACTTAAATCTGTAAACGAGTATACAATCCCGCACGAGGAATTAGGTGCGTTGTTTGGTTGAAACTAAATTGATAACATAAGCTAAGAATATCAAGACACTACACTTCGGTGGTTTTTGCGATACAACGACCCCGTAGCGCCGCCTCGTGTTAGACATGTTCTCCTACTGGAAATCGAATGGCAGTTGCTCTCCTATCAGTGATAATTTTTTAATTATAAAAAGTTTATTGACAACAATTTTAGAAAAAAAAACGTCGGAACTAAAGCTTAGGATTATATTAAATTTAAAAAAGCGGGGAAGCTTGGTTGTCGTGATTTTATGCATTTATATTAAAATAATATGTGTGTGTGTGTGTGTGCCCGCGCGCGCGCTTTATTAGTATTACTGGGGCTGAACCTGTACGTTGCATGTATCTGTCCAATTTTTGATGACTGTATATAAAACAATATTGTTTATTATTGTTATTATTATATGAAATCATATAAACTATAATCCTTCTTTTTTATTAAATTATATTTATTTCCTAGCTAAGGTTCTTAATTTTTATTTAATCTGTCAAAAACTTATTGTCAACAAAACATTCATAATAATAGATAATTTGTGATATTAGTGATAATGAGTTACGAACGATCGCTGGTAGCGCGGAAAGAATGGAGGAGGGTCGGGGATGCAACGCATAAGATCAATGCAGGAGACCGGAGGAGAGCGAGGGATCTTTTGTTTACTGATACAAATGTGATAGAAGTTATAAGTACTCAATAACAAGATTAAATAGATACTAAGAGAAGACAACAATATATATATATGTAGTTGTTGGTATCGTGTTTATATATATATATATATAAACACGATACCAACAATTATATCTGGGATTATAAAATATTATAATTTTCTATGCAAAACAATACAATAAAATGCTAATATATATATATATATATAAACACAATACCAACAATTATATCTGGGATTATAAAATATTATAATTTTCTATGCAAAACAATACAATAAAATGCTAATATATATATAC